AGGGAATAGTAATAATAATAGTATAATTGATCAATGATTTGGCTTTACATCAATGGTGTATTTGGATTCCTTTTGTGCCGTACTGGGGAACTCAATAGATCATTGTGAAGCAGTTATATAATGGAACCTGATGCTCGAAATTGACCAAATACTAGAGGATGGAACTATTGATATCCTTCTTTATTACTATGGAGAAGTATTTATTTTCCAAACGCAGAGGAAAAACGAAATGTGTCTTTTTCTAACTCTGAATTCTGTATTTGGTGTGAACCTGTTTGAACTAGTAGAAAATGTTGATACTTTTCTCTAAAATGGTGTTTACTGTCCCAACAGCGTCAATTTATGATACGATTTCCAAAATAATCCCCCTGAATTATTCTTTTCCAGGTGAAATACAAGCTAATCGGCATATATTTCAAATGTCTTATGAAGAGAGAGAGCTAACGATTAACAAAAATAAGTACCTGCAGTAGTAATCCAATAAATAAATCCAGTTAAAAATAGGCTTTAAACAGAAATGTAGCATTCCTTATAAATATTCCTGAATAAATTACATGTCATGTCTCATGGACAAAGCCTAACGAATAAAAAAAGGCAGTATCATTTCGCAAGACATACAAATGATGCAGAAGATAAAATCACGCAAATGAATTGAAAAAATATGCAGGTTAAGCACATACACTTTAACTGGCTGAGTTTGACCTTAAGTAGGCGAAAATAAAGCACTAGAATAAACAACAACTTATGACCTTAGTCATTGTCAAATGACCCTAAATATTTTAACGAACGGATAGGTGAAAATATTTAAAGACTATTGAAAGGAGAATTCCTGTAAGTCAATAATCTGGAATAAGTCAAATTCACTATGTGTAAACTGGTTAGCAATTTGCAGTCTACACAGTTCGAGAAGGTGAGATTTCACCGTAGTTTCCTTTGGAAACCAAGCTATTCAGATCACTACAATATGTGATCTGCTTGATAGCATAAATGGTAACCAAGACAACAAGTATATTTGCATAAAACTATACACTACTGATTGATTGAGATGAGTAGTTGTGTACCACCACTCATATCAACCAGTAGTGCTTGCTAGCCAGCCATATTGAGGTGATTTAAACACAAGACGGTCGTTTCGCTCGTTCGGGGGTTAAGCTCATCAGCAGTTTACCCTGCTTGACTCAGCTCAGAGAGTCGAATCAGTTCAAACCATCCGATTTCTGGCTAACTAGCTATTCGAATAAGAAATGACTTCTATCAAGCACATGCTAATAAAATGCAGGTTAATCGAGAATCCGTTAAGTGGCTACGAATGAAAGGCTAGTAGTAAAACTTTGATGTTCAAGCATATAGTCAGCCAAACATACATTTCTATTCAGCAATTCAACAATAAACTTTATTCATTTTATGAGTATGAAAGGCTTTAAGACGGTCGATGTCTACCTATGATTTTGTAGTATAATGACTTTATTACAAGTTGAATGAAACTAGTTTATTATATTTTAGAAATTCAGCTAACCGGAACAAACCTCTGGTGTATATCACAAGCTATGAGTCATGCTTATTGTGTGAGGGCTGAAGTTACTGCTCAGATTCTCAGGCAGAAGTAGCTGGAGCGTGACTTGAACTGGTGATCCATCCGTTGAAAGTTGGCTGCTTAAGCCAATGAGTCACATCTCCATTTCAGGCTATCTGAACAAAAACATACAGAACTTTACTCGACAATTAGCTGAAAGGAGTTGCAATTATTTTACCGCTTGTAGCTATCTTTCAAGATATTATTAATATTAACTTAGAATCTAAGTGGAACGTAGGGCTTCAGCAGCATGTCGCCACTTCATCCTGTTTCCTGTAGTCCACTTTAGCTGGCTCCGCAGTGACCCACAGGCCCTCATCTCCTCCTCATACGATCTACACCCTGTCACTCTCGGACCCTAGCCCAACTCGACGTTCTCCATTCGGGTTCCACTCAAGGGCTGGTCTGGAGGGCAATGTCACTCAACAGTGTTTTTTTTTACGAGATGAGGTTGCTAGACTCATGCCCAACCTACCCTCTTCACCAGTCTTATTACAGGCTTAGAAAGGTAAAGGATTGCACCGGCTGAGGATCGAACTCCGAGCCACGTGCGTGGTTGGCAAGCATTCTACCTCTGTACCACCGACGCACTATTTTATACATATGGTATCACAATTAACAAAAATGAGAATCCGCATAACACAAGTTTACAGAATGGAGGCATATGAACATTCTAGTAAGGCTAAAAGGATGAAATAAAAATAATATGTTAATTGTATTACACATTGTACTTACGGAATAAGAAACAATCGAGAGTTAAAGTATATTCTCTTTGGTGTGAGAAATGATGTGATCAGCAAATATGTGAACACAGGATATTTAGCCGTCGTTTGATCTCCTATTATTACTTCAGTGTTTATACCTTCAACCTCTTACTTTTAACGATCTTACACAGGACCGTTATAATGAAAATTTCAACGTTTTTTTATAAAACAAACAGATATCATGAGTACGAGATATGACATTATCACACTTGATTAATAACACTCACAATGTAGTAAGCCTCATTCACTCAAGATTATTTATTATTGCATACCGGTGAATCTTCTGAGTGTGGTTCGAACAGCATATAAATCTACTCCTCAAGATAAAGCAAGAGTTACGAAGCGAAATCTCTCCTCCGATTTTGTAATTCCTTCTTTTTGGAATTTAACGAACCCTGAAGATGATGTTATTTACCTTTTCATATATGGAATGCATTGATTTCATTTGCTCTTATCGACATAGTACTTTGATGTGCTAGTTTGGATATATATTAGTATTAAGAGTAGCTGTTTTATGAATCATAGATAGTGATAGACTTTGAACAAACTACAATGTTTTGACTTATTACATTAAGCATTTCACTTTATACTACTTTGTTTACAGCTTCAAATGCTCTCAGGTGGTATTATCAGTCTCTTTAGTAAGTATGCGAATTCAGTTGCCAATCAGGATGTGAGGCATACTTATTGTGTGAGGGGCTGGCGAAACTACCAAGTTGTACATTTTGAAGTAGGTGAAGTGGGACTCAAACCCAGGACCCACTAACTGTAAGTGAAATGCTTAAGCCAATGAGCCATTCATCTCTTAAGTAAGAGTGTGAAGCATAAACTAACCCCCCCCCCAAAAAAAAACAATCTTGTTACAACTGAGAAATAGGAGACTAAAACTTTGATAAACTTATTTCATAGACTGTGTGGGAATAAATACAAAGATACAAAGGGAGTTATGATGAAAAGAGAAAATCAGTGCAACTCGAAATAACGAATGGATCATAAGTTATCTATAACTGACTATAATACGTTAAGTGTATAAAGTAAGAATAATAAGAAGAAGAAGTAGGGAAGTGAAAATCTAGGAGTACGGGAGACATTTTATGTCGTGATTACACACCCTTAAATTACACATACTTTGAACTTCTCAAATTTTAAGACAATACTCCAAGATCTGTTAGAAAAGGACAGAAATTTTACGACTACATTATTTTTGTAACGTAGTCTAATTCATTTTACGATGTAACACAAGTGAATTAGAAGTAAATAATCAACTTTGATTGAGATTTATTACCGTTAAACCAATTTCTAGAGAACTTATGAAACTTATGACTTGACAAAAACTAAAAGAGGGTGAGATCATAATGGCATATATGTTCATTCTTTCTTTGTTCAAACTAATAAAGAGAACCGGTTGTATGAAATTCTTGAAATGACGTCTCCCTGCTAAACTTGGGGTGAGGGCTGGCTGCTAGCCAAAGTTGGTAGACAGTAATTCACGTCAATGTTTATGTCCCCAATATTGGTGGTGAGAAAATGAGAACAAAGGCTTTGCGTAGGCGGATACAGTTAGCATATGGATGATCTGACACAGCCACAAAGAGATGCAAGGTTAACTTTCTGTGAGAAACAACTAATCAAAAGACTGTATTTTATACTGACAATCATCTACAATAATGTACATTAAAATCTATAAATATGTGTTGATTTTCCTTAATAAACGATCTGTTGCCTGGCCCTTGTCTTCTGTTGTTACAAACTAATCAAGTTACGTTGCAGAATAGCGAGAGTGTCTCGAAACAGATTATTTTCCACCTCAGTTCCTGAAGCTTATCAAATCGACCCAACTACCTCCAACTCTATAGAATCTGAGTCATATTACCATATCGCATATCGACTCATCTCAGAAACATATCTGTAAATATCCTCGTTCTTTCTTTGTTCAAACTAAAATAAAGGAAGCCGATTGTATGAGATAATTATTGTGTTTAAAAGTAGTCTATGTGACGCAAGGCAACACACTTCCGTTATGTTTATGAACCACGAGATCAAAAGAAAAGTAGGAAGTTACACTTAAGTGTTTTAAACTGCAATGCCATTTAAACTTAAATCATCCAGTTATCTCACATCCTTGACTATCTTCCGCTTACAGGAAAAGTTTTACAAGGGAGAGTAAGCCATCTAAAAAATTAGTAATGCGAATAAAAAGGACAATAATAATATTGGTCTTTGTGTATAGCAATTATCAATGAATTATTAGTAATAATCTATCAGAGTATGCACCCACTGGCTTTCGAACCCAAGGATCTTCCGAACTCAAAGAAAGCTAGTATAGCGTCCAGCCACTGGGACCCGATTCAATGGTCCATGAATTTTAACTCCTACCAATTCGTGATTTTTTCCGTATACCGTTGAATCGGGTCCCAGTGGTTGAATGGTATACAAGCTTGCCTTGTTACCGGAAGGTCCTGGGTTCGAAACCCAGTGGGTATGTACTACCGATGAGTCCCAAACTAGGGCGTAGTAGCTGTTCAGTGTTACCTGGTTTCTAATGGTTCTCTAACTGATATTAATCCTTGGTCTAACCTGAAACAAACCGAATCCACACAAACTAATTCTTGAAAATAATAATTTAATTTACTACTGATAAAACTGACTAACAAAAAACTTACCAATTTTCAGTGGAAATCCACTCGGTAGTTGTTTAGTAAGAAATTCTTTTAGTTTATGGAAGTAAGGATTATATTCTGACATTAAATCAATAATTGGTATGATTTGATCTTTCAATGATAAAGGATAATCCCGACATATCCATAGACGTGCTTTGAATGTTTTCACTTTAGTTGTCATCACTTTTGGTCGACCGATATCATAGAGAACACTTTGTGCACCAGGTGATGGACAGAAGTATTGTTGTGGTGTCACATGATTTGGATTGTAACTGGCTGCCTCCTGTATAAACACATAAACAAAATGATAGCAAGATAGCAAAATAAATAATATAGTGATGAAATTGTTTTGGTAATAACAAAAGGTAAACAAAAAGCAGTAAAAATGATCAGAAGAATAAACTGACTGACTGGTTTCAACGTATAACTTTGCACCGATGTGTAGCAGTTCGAGTTGCCACACTCCCTCCATGGAGCATAGAAAGCAAGAAAAGAGAGTAACGAGAGATAAAAGGAAATATTAGGCAAAGAGTGAATACGTCTCCCTCATCGAGAACGATTTTCAGTCATATCACAGGCAATTGCTTTTTATCATTCCGAGGAACCCAACCAGGAAGTTTGCACCCCTTGCGTGGCTGGCTTAAACTAACTGCTGTGGATTTCATTGATTGATGTCATATTTTGGTTTGATCACCACTAGCTCTTTTCCAGCCTGACTCATCCTATGTCAGCTAACATTGCCTATCAAGGAAGGCGATAGCTCGCTAGCCATGTGTAACGCATATCCTAACCATCTCAATCGGTGTAACTTCACAACCTTGTCGATTGATTTCCCCTCTTTACCTAGTCCTCAACGCTTAACCTCAATATCTCCCACTTATTATACCACTTAACACGGGAGATAGAACGCAGGCACCTATGATCAAAGACAGCCAGGAAGGCTTTTATGTTTTCCACTTTCAATAGTCCACAGCCATAAAGGAGGACAGAGCGAACTGCTGAGCAGTACACACGCCCTTTGGTAGACAACCGGATATCACGTCTACGCTAGAGATGGCGTAAGTTGGAGTGTGCGAAACGAGACTTCGGTATCCGTGCTGAGGTTTTGAAGAAAGAAATTAAAGAAGAGGCAAAACCTTGACTAACCGTTTGAAAGGAGAAAAGACTAGTTAAGTGAAAAACGCTAAATGCGAACTTCCTATACAGTTACAACTACGCAGCTGGAATCACGTGATATGGATACGAGATGAATTAGAAACAAAAAGGCCTGATAATTTACAATTTGCAAATAAGTTTGTGCATAGCTCAGCTGTCACGTGAGGCCCAACAGTAGGGAGTGTAACCACGCGTAACGACGACGTACCAGCCGATGGGATTGATTGCCTTATATGACCCAAACACGTTATCCATGACAATCCATTATATAATGGATTGCGCAATGGTAGCTAAAATGAGGATTACGTCGCATTTATCTTAAGATAATCATAAAAAATTTGACAACGATCTACAAAATCCCATTTTTAGCGTGAGTTGTATTACTGATTATAGGAAACGAGTGGGGATTTAGAAAAACATTTGAAATAGACAATTAAACTTTTATGGAATATATCTGAAGACTGATACGAGTGAACGTGCATCAGTTATATCTAAACCATAAAATCAGTCTACCTTGTGAATCATACCGTTTCACATATTTTACGTATTCTTCCTACATCTTTGCACTTAATCCATAAATGTGAATGGTAGTAATTTGAAAAGATTTGTCATTTATTTTAGCATTCTAAATCATACATTTTTATTCATACACACTCAACGATGCAAAATAAAACAATCTACAATGGAAAGCATAGTGTGATGAAAGGATGTAGTTAGAAATGAACATCAAAGAACTGTTAAACACCCAACTTGGAGTACGATATTCAGGGGTAGAATTAAATTATTTCCTAAACGTTGTGAACTGGCTGTCACAAGTTCCATCCTTTATGAGATCATGTGTGTTTGTGCTTTTGCTAAAGAATCCCTAAGTTGAAGAAAACAAATGTACATTTTCTTTTGATTTTCAGTGTTCCCCCTGATGAAATCTAACACTCATAAATTCAGTGATTTGACTTCATTCATTCATATAAAATAGTTATAGATTAGAAACAATCCCGAAGCAATTTGATGGATCATGACTAACCCACGATGCATATTTCGGCCTATTTTGAACTCATCATCTGGATGTACTTGCATTCCCTGGTGAATGATGGTATTCCCACTGAGACTCAAACCTAGTACCGATCGTTTTCCACTAAACCATTTGGACGAAATTCGTATCTGGAATTCCACTGCTAGTGACTACCTACCAAATTGCTTCAAATTAATCCTCAGACTTCGTCGAAGTGTCCGTACTAGGAGAGGGCATGTTAGCACAAGCTAATCAACGGGAAAATCAAAAGTGACTTAAAAACCAATAATAAAAATAATTATGCGGTAACATTCATTTCATTCGTATTAACTGAATGGAATGTACTTGAATTAATTATTCAGTATTAAAGAAGATTTACTAGAGAAGGAGTGCGATAACATACGGTGATAGTGAAAGTTGCATTTCATTCTACAAATCAACCAACAAACGAAATAACATAAAAGGTCAAGTAATTTTTGATTGAACACTAGTCAGTAACTAGTGTAATGTGTGTGTGTGTGTGTCTAGTCCTATCTTTGATGCAGACTGAATTCTATCAGTCAAGTTTGCAATGTGGCCACCATGCCACTAGGTGGCTCGCCATCACGGTGCACTATGAATTGTTGGTATTAGATGGTTGAAGGCAATCGGCAGGAAGCCTATAGGAGGTCAATCGCGAGCCTGAATAGCTCAGTGGTAACATCTCTGACTGCAGCTCTGGGTGACGCGGGTTTGAATTTCAGAAAGGACATGAGTTCCTTCAAGGTCGCAGACACGCCTTGGTGATGAGTGCCAAATAACCCCAAACCTAGGTCGACAGCTTCCTGCCGATTGCCTCCAACCATCTAATACCAACAAAGTCAATTAAACATTAATCATATGAGGTGCAATGTTATTTATTTTTACTTGTACTTCCTTTGTTGTATTCGAAAAAACAAGTAACTTGTTTATTTGTTTTTGGGAATCATTTAGTCAACATTTCCACAAAAACATGAAATGATCGATTAGATTGTATAGTCAGGCAGACTTGTATTCTAGTAAGTTGACCAACTCATATGAATAAACAAAACCTTTATATATTACCATATGAGTTTTACAATTTAATCACCTTGGATTGTCAGTGTGAGTAGACTAGACGATTGTTAAAAGCAATTAATTTCACAGTCCTATTTTATTTATTCAGTAGAAAAATTTTAATAATTCCAATATCTATTGTGTTTATTTATATTCAAACTTTTTTACTCTTAAGAAATTCTCTTTCTGTATTTAACATGTAAACAAATAGAGAGTTTTATCGACTGAACTATACGATTATTTTTGTGGTCATTTTGATTATTTCTGTGATGCAGTTGTGCGATACATCTAATAAACAAACTAATATGGAATTACTTACTACCACAGTGCCCAAGTTTTACACATATAGACAGGTATACTTGCTCCCTGGTACCTCGATTCTACTTCTAGCCACCACTAGTAATTTTAAAGTATTATTCTTGATAATATTGAGGTCTTTATCAACCTCATTCAAAATTTATATGACAATGGCACGTGTCAGGTAATCCACAACGGAAAACTCAGCGAATACAGAAGTAGAACAAGGCTACCTGCCTATTATCACTGATGATATTCCTAAACATGCTGGATAGGATCATGCGTCAGATTGTGGGTAGCAAGAAGACAGGAGTACGCTGGACCACCGATAAGAAGACTCCAGAAGATCTGAATGATTTAGGTTTAATATCACACAGACTCGAAGACTCACAGGCGAAAACCAATAGACTAGCTGAAGAGGCCAGCAGCGAAGAGAGGACTCCAGGTGAACATAGAGAAAACAGCGGTGACGAAGATAACCGACCAACAGCAACAGCAAACAGCACCAATCGCTATCAATGGAAATTTAAAAGAGGTTAATTCCTTGACTTATCTAGGCAGCCAGCACGGTTTCAACCACAGGCAGTTGGAACGGATGAAGATGTCAAAGTCAGCCAGCCAGAATCGGAAAGGCAAGACACACCTTCATCAGTCTGAAATCGGTTTGGAAATCTTCTGCACTCCCCCTCAGCATAAACAACAAGATTCGGATTTTCAACACGAATGTCAAGTGAGTCAGTTCTTCTGTATGGGTCCGAAACTTGGCCTGAGCATCACGAAAAGGATTTCTAACAGGCCACCACAGACTCTTATCAACGGCTGCCACCTTCGCTGGCTCCCTTCTGAGGATCAAATGGCCAGCCTGCCGGCCAAAAAGAATCGGCAACAAGAAACTATAGAAACAAAGTAACCAGGATCCTTAGGTTCAAGAAATGTGCAGGAGAAAATGGAGATGGATTGGGCATAATCTGAAAAGGCTTTCGAATAACATCGAGCGCAATGCAAGTAATCGGTCAAGCGGAATCCGGATGGGAAACGACGAATGGGTTGTCCTAGGGTGATATGGTGTGGGTCGTGTGAGGAAGAGATGGAAGATCATGGTCAATCGTGGATGCAGCTGAAGATGACAGCAGAAAGTAGAACAAAGTGGATATATACTGTTGAAGCCCTATGTTCCACCCGGAATCCAAAGGAATAATAATAATCTGATCAAGGGGCTAGTAATATACCGAAACCGATGCCTATCAATTCGGTCCAAAACATGTATCAACAGGAAAGGTAAATCGTGAATAAATCATCAGTGGTTAAGTGGAAGGATGCCTGCCAAGCTCACACGCCGTCCGGGTTAGATTCCCAGACAATGCACTTCAACATCTCGATTTGTCGGTAGTAAGCCAAGCGAAGATGGAATGATTGGGCATGCGGCTAGCGACCCCCCCCCCACCCCGTATAAAAGCAACACTGCTACTGAAACTTCAAAGGTCAAGCTTGTAACCCTATATTCCACTCTGGGAACAAAGAAATGGAAAATAAATCATAGATGTTAAAAATTTACCCTGAACAACTTGAGCATTGAGACTGATTGAATTATTACAAAATTATGTGAAATAATCCCAACCTGTTTAGAAAATACTCAAAATATTTTAATTTTGGAATAAAATCCAAGTAAGTGTGATGAAGAAACAAAGATGAAACTAACAAAAAAATACTTTTGATTTAGCAGTTTTTAAGACTCTGAGATAATT